TTGCATCAATTGTTCTATCTAATGTTTGTAATGGTAATAAAATAACTAAACCATAAAATAATAAATTTGAATTTCTATCTAATTGACGTAAAAAATTTCGTGTTGTTAATGTTAAATGATTTTTAAATGGAAATAAAAATGCACCGGCTAATATTGACCATAATATACTACGAAGAAATGGTTCTAATACACGATATACAAGTAAACCACATGCACCGCATACTAAAACAAAAACAATAGCTGCTGAATGTATAAATGCTGTACGAAGAGTTTCAGGATCACGTTGAGGTAATTTTGTTTTTGAACGAAAACCTAAAACCGATGAACTAAGACGACGAAGAAGATTCTCTATATTAATATAAATATAAACAAAATTTTTTTTATTGTTTTAAATAATTTACCATCATTAGGATTAGTTTCATGTACTTCTTCTTCTTCTTCTTCAAGTTCTTGACGGTTCTCCATTAACTCTTATAAATTTTAGTTAAAAATTATTTCCTTCAACTTGATTAAAATTGGATAATTGAATTGACGAATTAGATTCACTTGAACGAAAGATGACGCTTAAAGTATCTAAAAAAAAACAAATTATAACATATTGAATAGGTATAGAAAAATTCTCCTTCATTAATTTTCTTCTTATTTGAAATAGCATGTTAGACTGCAGTACCTTCTTTCGGAAGTTCTTTATTTAATAATAAAAAAAAAAACTTAGTTCTAAAAATAGAAGCTTTACATACTCTTGAAAAAAAAATCAATTAGCTGCAATAAAGCTCTTTTGAAAAGTTTGGAAAAGCGAAAAACATTTAGCATTTTTTCGGACTATCTTTCTATGCATTTATCTCAATATCAATTTTTCTAACGAAAATTAACATTTTTTTTTTTTTTTGAGAAAGCCTTAAAGGTCAGTCAAGACCGAATTCGAATTTAATAATTAATTTAAATACAGTGGAATGAGATTTCTTTGTAGGGTATAACGTTGCTTGCAAGCGCCATTAAATCAAATACGTAATAAATATTTTTGCTAATAGTTTGTATTCATCTCTTTGAAAAAAATGTAAATATTATCAAATGGTTTTACGTAATACAAAGAAAAAGTTCATTAGGATGAAATTTACCATTTATAGGATATGATATCCGATGACTAAATAAACAAGATGTGTATTGTTGATGAAGTTAATAAACATACATATATGGAAACATTAAAACTGTTGGTCAAAGATCCAGCAATCAGATGAATTCGTTAGAAATGTGTAATAGAATTTTTAGATTTTTTATTAAATAAAATAAAATCTATCTATTTTATTTTATACAAATGATAATGTTAGAATATATTTAAAAATAGTATTAAATTTGTTTGTTTTAATTCTTATTAGAATTAGAATCTACTGCAGGGGTATAAATTCCAGTTTCGACAAATCCTTGTCGATGAAGTTTAGCAATAAGTCTTTGTGCTTCAGCTGGTGAATCAACATAATGATGTTCTATTTTTAATTTACCATTATTACGTACTAAATTAATCGATTTATCACTTTGTCTTGTTCTTGTTATCGTTCTATTAGTATTTCGTTGCTTAACCGGTTGTGGAAGTACTACTGGCTGCTCATCAACAGGCATAGGTGGATAAGCATAAGGATAATAATTTGCTGTAGGTGCTGGTCGTGCTTGATAAGTTGTATTTGGATTTTCTGTCTTCGTTGATCTATAATTTAATTCAGGCTGTTCTTTATGATGATGTGTATCAGAATGTTTTCGTGGAGTCTCTTTCTCTTTATTTATATCATGTTGACTTTGACTTCTACTTCGTTGAGAATGTTGTTGTGCAACATCTCGATTTTCCCATTTTAAATTAAAAACTGATTTATCTGTATTTGTTAAATATCTTTTCGTCATATTACTATTTATTGGTTGATATTCAGAGGATTTTGTTTTTGTTTAGATGTTGTAAAATGTCATATAGAAGTTATATTTTGTTTCTCTCTCTCTCTGTTTTTTTGTTCTTTCTCTTGTTAAATTGATTCTTTTTTTTTTTGACAAAATTGTTTTTAGTTAAAATCAATACAGACAAAAGTAAATAGCAACATTTATTTAATGGAATTATTTAAAAGCATAGAAATATAATTTCATGTTCGATAATTTTCTAGAATATACTTCAACTATTTATTTTTAAAAACAAAAAAAAAACTAATAATTAAACAAAAAACAAGACTAAATATTGATATTGAATTTAATCTTATTGTATTATTACATAAATTAGTTGAACAAAAACAATAAACTTTATGTTTAGTTTTTGTTGAACGTATTGTATGACATCCATCACTTGTATCAATATTTCGTACATTTTTTAAATAATCAAGTTCA